CCCCGGGGGGGACCCCCCCGGCCCGGGGGGGGGGGGGGGGGGGGGGGGGGGGGGCAGACATGCATGTGCAGTGGGGGTCTTCCAGGCGACTTCTCACGTGCAGGCAGAAGTGGCACCACAATTTCTGGTGGCAGTCTGTTCCACTGGTTAATTGTCCTCACTGTTTGGAAGTTTATGCTTACTTCCAGGTTGCTTCTCTCCTTGGTTAGTTTCCTTCCATTGCTTCTTGTCTTAGCCTTCTGGTGCTTTGGAGAATAAATGGACCCCCACCCCACCCCCGTCTTCTTTGTGGCAGCCCCTCAAATCCTGGAATACTGCTACCATGTCGCCCCTGATTCTTCTTTTCTTTAGGGTTGTCAAACTTTACAACCACGGAGCCACTTCTTATATACTCCATGTGTACCATAGTGTTATTATTACAACATACATTACAACAACACCCACACCCCATGCCCAGGAAAAGCAGTTTTAAAATAACAACGTAGCTCAAGCCATTTTTCTGCGGGGCAAAAGACTGACTCCCCTGCAAAGATTTTATAAACTATACTTTTTAGCAACGCAGAACAGGCCTTAGATCGCCTTATTTTTTTGTCAGCACGAAAAGCCGCCGTTTAAAACGCTCACCGCGTAAGGCGGAAGAGGAGCAACCCCCGCCAGCCCTGCTAGGTAGCCCCCCACCCTCCTTTCCCCTCCCCTGGCTCGGCCTCCTTACCAGCCTCCCGCGCTGCCATGAACTCCCCCAAAGCAGTGAAGCAGCCCCCCCAAAACCGCGGCGAGGGCAAGACCTCCGAGCCCCGCGCCTGGGACGTGTGACATACAGTTCAAGGGGGCCGCCATATTAAACGGAAAGGCGGGTCACATGATCGGAGGTCACGTGAGGCTCGGGGGGGGGGAAAAAGAAACCCGCGTCTTTCCCCAGCGAAGGAAAGCATGGACGGTTGGGTTCGCCCTCTTGTGGCCAGCGGGGGGAACTACAAGGCTTGAGTGGTGGGGCAAAAAACTCTAGAATTTGTTCGAACGTGTCAGTTCCTTCCAACGATGCTTTTCCAAAAGGCAACCGGACTTTGCCGGGGGGTTTTTTTTGATTCTTTGAAAACATTTCGCTTCTCCTCCAAGTTATTGTTATTATTATATACTTTATTCATTAAACATGAAATTCAGTCAACTGAACATTCAAAAATGCATCACAAATACCATTGACTTATTATTATAATTGTTATTATAATTGTTATTATTATAATTGTTATTATTGTTATTGTTATTATTATTATTGTTGTTATTATTATTATTATTATTATTATTATTATTATTATTATTATTATT